TTTAAGATGATGTTATGAAGATTATATTTAATTTGAACACTTGTATTATGGATTTTGAATATGTATTTATTTTCTAGGTAGCATATTTCATTTAAACTAGCAAAATGGTGCGTATGAACGTATTGAGCGATGCTCTGAAATCAATTAACAATGCTGAAAAGAGAGGCAAAAGACAAGTTTTGATTAGGCCTTGTTCCAAAGTCATCATCAAATTTTTAAAAGTTATGATGAACCATGGTTAGTGCTTTTAATTTATTACTTCATTCTAAAAAGTCTCAAATGTTATATGAGTAAACAATTTCATTACAACTTATTTTCTTTTTTTATAATTAAGGAGAATCGTAGAGATTTAATATTTGATTTTGATCCTATTTTTGAGACTAATTTAAATAAATGTAGGGTATAGTATATCATTCATACGCAATTTTTATATTTTATAATCAATTTTCATTTAAAGTATTTTTACTTTATTTATTTTTACAAAATTGAATTTGCTTAATTGAAGCAATAAATATATTTTCTTTTAGCTGGAGAAAAGCTAATGTATTTTTCTACAATTTTTTAGTTATATTTTATAGATAATTTTATGAAACTAGTTCAATAGTGCTAAAATTAAAAAATTCTTTGTCGCATATAAAATTAGATTTACTCACTGATATATCTGCTATTATAGGTTATATTGGTGAGTTTGAAATTGTTGATGATCACAGAGCTGGCAAAGTAGTTGTTAATCTAACTGGTCGTTTGAATAAGTGTGGTGTTATATCCCCAAGATTTGATGTACCTATTAGAAATATTGAAAAATGGACTAATCAATTACTGCCTTCCAGACAATTTGGGTAATTAACACTTTTTATTTAAATAATTAGAAAATATTATGTTGTATATTGAAACTGAGTTATTATACATTTTATTATCTTGGGAACTATCGTTATTTAAGAATGTAATTGTTGTTCTGTTTTTTAATTTGTTCATTAAATAATTTACTTTTAATATGGAGCGTTTTCTGTGGTCATAGGGGGATAATTGTAGGGCTTACTGTTCCCTTTAAATACAGCCAGTCTTGCATTTATTCCACTTTGACAATAGGAATATTTCATCTTGATTCGTAATTGTTGTATGTTATATTGATATTTGTACATTTATTTTATTCTTTTACTGATTAGTAGTACATTTTCTTTAAGTATAGATAATATGTATTTAGAATAGGACATTCAGAGTATTTATTTTTAAAAGTTTATTAAAATTGTATAATTGAGCTGTATCTTACTTATTCATATGAACTTTAAATTTACAATCAGAGCAAACTATGGTCTTAGAATAAATGATATTTAATTAAGTTCTTTTTACGGGTTTGCTATATTAATTTTTGCATATTTTCAGATGTAATGAATTTAAATGTCTTTACATTGCTAACTTGCAAAAATAACTTTCCCTCCATT